TTCAAAAACTTCCTGCGGGGCGGCGGAATGGCGTGAGCCTCTTGAATATCGAAACAAGTAGTGACCACTGAAAAGCGCGGACTCAAAGGAGAGCGACATCCAAGCACGATTGCGACGAGCAGACACACACACACACACACACATGTCATCAAACTCATACAAACGAGCAGCCGATGCATGCAAAACCGGCCGAAGGCGGCAGTCTAGCTTCGGCAGTTTAGCTAAAACATGTGTTGTTCGGGGGGCCTGCAATGTGGCCCTCCTAGAAGGATGCCAGTGCCTCCCTCCGGCACTTCTGGGTCGTTTTGGGACCGCGCGATTCTGCTCGGTCCTAGCCCGGCAAGGACGAAACGATGATGATGATGCCCAGCAATGCCAAGCAACGCTAGGCAACGCAAAGCAAGACGCAAAACTGCCTAGAATTGGCTCCAGGCACCCAAGATGTGGCCTGGGAGTGGTGTTCTGGGAACACGAAGAGCACAAAGTGGCCTACAGTTGGCTCCGGGCACTCACGATGTGGCCTGGGAATGGTGTTCTGGCAAGATGCATCGTGATTCCGGACAAGAGTTTCGCACCTTCCAACGTTATGATTTTTTGTGTCCTAGCCTGGCTAAGACGAAACGAACATGAAAGCCACGAAATGCGATAGGGTTACAACTTTCCAACGTTATGAATGCCTTTTTGGAGCTCTGGTGCAGGACTTCCTTACAAAAACGATGCCGTTCGTAACGTTGAAATTTCTTGAATAAAGAATGTTTGAATATTCTTATTTAAGCATTGCCAACGTTACGAACGGCGTCGTTTTTTTGTAAGGAAGTCCTGCACCAGAGCTCCAAAAAGGCATTCATAACGTTGGAAAGTTGTAACCCTATCGCACTTCGTGGCTTTCATGTTCGTTTCGTCATAGCCAGGCTAAGACCGAAAAAATCGTAACGTCCTAGAACGCCATTCCTGGCAATCTCATCGCCGTTTCGTCCTAGCCAGGCTAGGACCGAGCAAATCGTAATGTCCCAGAACGCCATTCCTGGCAACCTCATCATCCCTTCGTCGTAGCCAGGCTAGGACCGAACGCATCGTAACGTCGGAGAAAGCAATTCGCCGCGATGTCGCCATCGTTTCGTCCGAGCCACGCACAGATCCCACAAATCGTCGCGGCTCGGCTTAAACAAAAGGCACCTCCCTGAACGCCATTCCCGGCGATCGCATCGCCGCGTCGCCTTAGCTACGCCTGAGCAAATCTCCACGCACCAGAACGCCAGTCATGGCGATATCACGGGCGTTTCCTGCAAGTCAATCTAAGACAGGGAATCATCCCCACGTCGAAGGGCAACTGCCGTTCCCAAGCGCGCCCAATGTCTGACATGTGACATTGTGACTACGTCGTCCTCGACTTGAGTGAGCCGCAATACACACTAAGGACCTTCGTGACACGGAATCCTGTCCTTTGATCATTCGGTCCTCTGGTTATGTGGTTCGTTGGTCCTCTCGTCCAGTGGTCCTTTGGCCAATCGTCCTCTGGTCATTCAGCAAGAATGGGGAACGGCCCCAAGACGTCGTCCGGCGACCCGACAAGCGCCCCGACTACGAGGGCTGCGCCGAGGAGCCCAGCCAACGCCACAGTCTTGGATACCGTCCGCGCGCCCCCACCGCGTACGCACCGCCAAGGGCCAGGAACTGCACCAACGCGCCGAACATATTCACCTGGGATCCCGATGGCCTTTGCCGACGCCGCGACGGCGGGCGACCCCGCGCGTCGACATCGAACCCAAATATCCTATCCGCGGGTTTCAATCTGGCACGGTTTTTGCAAGGGCAACTCGGGCGGGATACGAAGTCTGCGCACGTGCGCACTCCGCGCGCAGAACAACGACTGTACCCTGGCCATATACTGACCAGATCGGAGAACCGAGCTGCTCGCGCCGCGCGTCTGCTGGCGATGGGCGCAACGGACTGCGCCCTGGCAGCGGCGCGGCCAAGCTCATCTGGAAAGGAGCAACGAATGCCCCCCAGCCACCGCCGAGCCACGTGGAAAAATCGAACAGCCCGCGCCGCCTCGGGCCCGAGGAAGGCATCGACTATGACTGCATGGCAAAACGCGCCCGAACGGTCGGGCTCGGGGGAGAACCCTCAGTCGTTCTTCGGGGCGTAGCCGTCGGCGTCGACGATCTCCTGCATATTTGGGCGCATTCGCGCAATCACGCTCTTCACGTAGTTCTTCGGCAACTTCTGCGCGCAACTCTTGAGCCGCTGGAGGAAGGCGTCCTTGGTCTCCGTCGTCTTGGGCGCCGTCTGGACAAGGCGCTTCTCTATGGCCTTCCATATGGAGAAGTCCAGGGGCATCACCGAGGGGGTCCGCGGCGGGAGCGTGAGAGCCTTGATGCCGCACGCAGACTTAGCGTCGATGCCCTTTTGGCTCTGGTTGCCCTTCCGGTCCCCGTCTTCAGCGATAGTGTAAGATTTGCGGGGCCCCCAGGTGCGTCGCAGCGCCTTTAGAAGTTGCCCAGAGTAGGTGTCTGCGGCCTTCTGCCCATTCCACTTGCCGTCCTGCGCGTGCCACAGAATGACCCGGTCCTTGGCAACCGCCGCTGTCACGCAGACCGATGGGATGCCCAGGAAAGAATGGTTCTGCCGAGGCTTCGTCATGCCCTTCTCCGTCCCCTCGCTTGGCTTGCGAAGGTGTCCAGTTATCAGGGTTTGCCTGTACTTGGCGCGCTGCTTCGGAGTGAGGGGCATGACCCAGCTCTTGTTGTCCACCCACGCGTGCACGCCCGTCTCCCAATACTTCTTCGGGCGCTTCAGCCAAGCCTTCAGCGTCTCAACGCGGACCTTGGCGTCCTCCTCGGTCAACAAGATCTTCTTTCGCGGCTGCCTGAAGCGCACCCCCTTGCTCCGCAGGGCCTCCTCGCAAGTGCGCTGACACGCGCGGCCCTCCATGTCCGCCGCCGCGACCACGTCGGCGTAAGTGACCCGGTACTGGTTGTTGGCTGCCTTCGCCAAGCGCTTCCGGACTCGGTCGAGCTTGTCGGCATCCTTCGGAGTCAAGACCCGCTTCCGGCCGCGAGTCTCCGCGGCGCCCGCTGGGTGGCTAATGCCCCTGACGTACCTGTAGACGGCCGATTGGTGTATGGGCGCCACCCCGCGGGCAGCGCGTCGCTGGTTCACAGCGCGGGTGGCGTCGGCGGCGCCGTTGCCGCGGGCCCTGGCGGACTTGTCGATGAGGGCGAGTTCATCGGGCTGCAAGCGCTGGCGCAGCAAAACGCCAGCGCGGGGCATGTGGGCTGGGCGAAAACGCAGCACAAAAAGCGGCCGCGCGTCTGGGCGTCCGCGAGTCGGGCACCCGCGAGGCAGATCGCTCGAGCATGGTGAATGGCACGGGGAATGCGAGATGGCGCCCGATGACGCCGCGGCAACTGCAATGCGGCCTGGAGGCGCAACCTGCGAGACCTGCGGGGCATGTGGGACCTGCAATGCCTGAATGGGCAGTGAGACCTGGAAGAGCTGCGACGCCCGTAGGACTAGGGGGGGCCCTGTTGCGCGCGGGGCCCGTGTGACAGGCGAGACCTGCGCGCCCTGTGGGGCCCGTGATACCTGCGGGCTCTGGGAGGGGGAGAGGGGGGGCGTCGTTGCCTCGCGGGCAAGTGAACCGCGCAGGCCTACGAGCCATCGGGTAATGCCAACTTATTGGGGGCCTGGCGGGCGTCTTCGGCTCGTGGGGCCCGTGTGACCTACGGAGCCTCCTGGGATCTGCGAGACTCATGGGGCCATCGGGACTTGCGACCCCTGCGGGGATTGGTTGTCTCACGTGGCCCGTGGGGCCTGCGGGGCCCGCGGGAGCTTGCGGAAAGCAATTGCGCGACGTCGACGGCATCTGAAACGGTGGTGGGCGATGTACGCCGCAAAGTGCAATCGAGAAGCAAGTTTTTGGTGCGCGGCCAAAAAATGGCAGCCGTGGCTGTATAAAAAATTAACGCGAACACCATTCGTAACGTTGAAATCGCCATGCAATGAAGATAAGCCAATACAATACTCGGCGTAACCCTGCCTCGCGCGTGAAGGAGAAGTTCTTCCGTGGTTCGCGTTATTTTTTACATTTTCATTGCTCCGGGAGCTCTTGCCGAAGCATTCTTCCTGAGGCCGTTGAATGGCGAAATCCAGCGTTACGAATCGATTTCGCGTTAATTCTTTACATCCACGGCCTTCCGGCAACATAAACTCGGCACCGCTTCTTCATGCATCGCGTGACATGTCGCAATCGACCCCCAGCCAATTCGAACCCGAACATCGACCTTGTCACATCCAGACGATGCAATCTACGCGGCGCGGCGCGCGCCGCGCAAACCAAGGCCCCCCCCAAAAAAAAAAGAAGAAACGCTGTAGGCCAAGGCAAAATTTAAAGCAACGCCGCGCAACGCAAGGCGCCCCAAACATATCCACGCAAAACGACGCAAGTCACCGCAACGGGGACAATTCAACGCAATGCAATGAAACAGATGCCAAATGCACGCCGAGACGGCGCCTGTCTGCATTTTCCCAGCACCGCCCCGAACGCATCAACCCGGCTGCGAAACGGGAAGCACGGGGCCGCCCTCGGGCCTGCTGGGCACGTCTGGCCCATCAGGTGGCAGGGCGACGCCCGCGCGGAGGTCCTCCGCGACCTCCACCCACTCCACCCGTCGACTAATCGGGGCGGCGTGGGCAGGCAAGGCGACTGCGGGGGGCCAGAAGTCCCACCAGGACCAATTAGTGGTAAAAATGCGCGGCGTGCCCTGCGGGATCGCGCCATCCCGGTTGCGGCACGAGACGTCCCGCAACTTCTTGACGTCGACGAGCGCCTTGACGTCGTCGATGTCCCGCTCCCAGAGGCACATCTCGTCAATGACCACCCCTTGCCCTGGGAAGAAATCCACGTCCCGGAGGCGGTCAGTCTTGTTGAGGAAATGGAAAGCCTTCGCGGGAGCGACCATGTGCATCAAGGCGCAGGCAAACTCCGTCTTGCCCAAGCCACCAGGCCCGCGCAAGACGAGCGCCGTGGACTTCCAGCCACCAGCCGCCCACCGCGACACCCCAGGACCGACAGAGCCAACGGGGATGAACCTTCCCAGATCGAACTCTGGGCTCTGGACCAGAGTGCCTTCGGAGATCTGCTCGGGGTTCCAAGCCTGCCGCACCTTGCCGATCAATTTCCGCACGTTCTCCTTGCCCAGCGTGTTGTACAGGGTGACGTCCCCGTCTACCTTGCGCTGCTTCGCCAGGGCCCATGCGCCCTTCTCGGTCACGACGTTCGCCTCCACGAAAGCGTCCGTGATCTCCGAGAACGTCAAGAGAGACCTCTTTCGGCCAGGTTTGCTCACGCCGAGGCGGCCCTCCATCTGCGCCGAGGGATTCTCGGCTAACTTCAGGAGGCGTTCGACAGGAATCGGCGGCCACGACCATGGATCCCGATCGATGTCGGCCAAAAGCTTCTTCCTCGATTCGATCAAGCAGTACCCCAGGTAGTCGGCGCACCCCGTCAGGTTGAAGGAGAAGTGCCCGCGGATGCCATGCTGCTGGGACAGCTCTCGCTGGAGCCGCTGGTGCGCGAAGGGCTCCTTGAATTTGAACACGATGTGCATGTGCTTCTCCCTCGCGACCGTGCCCTTCTTCCAGCGCTTGTGCGGCTCGGAGAAGACGTGGACCTTCGGGCGCAACCGAATGAAACATGTCGCAAAAGGGTGGCTGGCTGGGGCCCACGACTCCCCCCGCAACATTGCTTGTTGTCACCCTGGCGCGCCTTCTCCAAGTTGGGGCCCTGCCCTAGCTTTTTGCACGCCTTCTTGAACGCATTGCCCACCTCCTGTTTCGACATGTCCTCTGGTTTCAGCCACTTCCGCCGGCGACGCCTAAGCGTCGCACAAAACGCGATCGAACGAGCCAGCGATCGGTCCATCGACCGCGACCATGATTTGATCGATCGGGCGGAACGCCTGCGATGGATCCGTCGGCACCGCGGAGCACGCGATTCGATCAGTTTGGGCTCAGCCTCGCGCTCATCCAGCTGCGAGGGATACTCGCGCGGGCACGGCCAGACGAACTGGCCGCATCTGCCACGGGCTGACGTGTGGGCTGCGCCCTCATCTTCATCTGCGCTGGAGTCGCCCTCGGCCTCTGACATGGCCACGTCGTCTTCCTCCTCGCTTGACGAAGAGTTCGACGAAACAGCGTCAGCGTCCCCGCTACCACCAGCGGCAGCCGCAGGCTGTTCTGCGGCTGCCTCTGGGGGGACATCGGCATTCCGAACATTGCTATCAGCAGCGGGGACCTCCATCGATGAGCAGCTGGGGTCGCGTGCTTGTTCGGAGTAGTTGGCGCGGCAGTGGACCAAGGCCCGCGCGCTTGAGCATCAATGCCAACGAACAAGCGTTGCAACGCCTACGATCACCAATGCAGGCGTTGGCTACCCCGCAGGTTGTCCCGTGCGCTGTCCAGCGGTTTGTCCCGTGGGTTGTCCTGCCAATGGCCCGCTCGTGGTCCCGTGGCTGTCTGTCCTGCAAATTGTCCTGCGGGTGTCCTGTGGGTTGCGCCGTGGGTGTCCGCAAGTGCACATGCTGAAAACCTCCTTTGCTATAAAACGTGAGGAGGATAAGACAAAACATACGCGTTTTGCTATATAACGTGAGGAGGATATGGAAACAAACGAGGAAGACCGAAATGCATCCTATACATATTCGGTTGACATTTGAAGCCCAGGCTCTGTGTAGGGATCGGTTCGAGCAGGGATTTAACCCTTGACTTCGGCACCGGAGCCAAGATCCCGATCAAAATAAAACGGACATCTACAGAAAAGCGCCACGAACCGAAATCACATCGTGAAAACATACGCGTTTTGCGGTAGGAAGTGAACACCTAAAGGCCCCTCCCAAAACTTAGTCGATCTATCTCTTGGATTCGACCTCGGAGCGAAAATCCAAAGCATAAAAAAGAAAAATCTACAGAAACCGTCACAAACCGGAATCACATGGTGAAAACATACGCGCTTGGCGATATGAATTGAACACCGAAAGACCCCTCCCAAAACATAGTCGATTTAGCTCTTGGATTCGGCCTCGGAGCCAGAATCCAGAGCACAAAAAACAGAAATCTACAGAAACCGCAACAAACCGGAATCACATGGTGAAAACATACACGCTTTGCAGTAGGAATTGAATACCGAAACACTCCTCACAACACTTCGTCGATGTATTTCTTGGATTCGGCCTCGGAGCCCGGCCACCCCCCCAAACAAACAACTGTACAGAAAAAGGCCACGAGCTGGAATTCCATGGTGAAAACAGATGCGTTTCGCAATAGAACTCAACAACGAAGGCCATATGGCCAGCCACAGGCTTTCCCCAACCACAGCCATGGCCAGATACCTTCCCAAGCGTAGTTAGCATATTCTCCCGAGATTTTCAGCAGAAGTTGTTCTTGCTGATTGAAGGAGTGGTCCCTGCTTCCCGAGGGAGGGTTCGACCCATGAGTGGTATTAATGGAGCGAGTCCACACGCACGTCGCATTGTTTTTTTTTGCAATGGGGCCCACAAGCCCCTGACAGGAAAAAACAAAAAAAGCCGAGAGTTTCCCCCTTCTGAAACACGAAAAATATAATCCGGCTACCCTGGGCCTGCGAGGTCCCCGCTGGCAATCTACTTGCCCCGTTAAAAAAAAGGCGACGTGCGTCTGGACTCGCTCCATTAATACCACTCATGGGTCGAACCCTCCCTCGGGAAGCAGGGATCACTCCGTCAATCAGCAAGAACAAGTTCTGCTGAAAATCTCGGGAGAGTATGCTAACCACGCTTGGGAAGGTATCTGGCCATGGATGTGGTTGGGGAAAGGCTGTGACTGGCCATGCGACTTTCCTGTCCAGACTCGTATCGCCCAAAAGCAATATTGTAGACTTCAAAAACTTCCTGCGGGGCGGCGGAATGGCGTGAGCCTCTTGAATATCGAAACAAGTAGTGACCACTGACAGGCGCGGACTCAAAGGAGAGCGACATCCAAGCACGATTGCGACGAGCAGACACACACACACACATGTCATCAAACTCGTACAAACGAGCAGCCGATGCATGCAAAACCGGCCGAAGGCGGCAGTCTAGCTTCGGCAGCTTAGCTAAAACATGTGTTGTAAGGGGGGCCTGCAATGTGGCCCTCCTAGAAGGATGCCAGTGCCTCCCTCCGGCACTTCTGGGTCGTTCTGGGACCGCACGATTCTGCTCGGTCTAGCCCGGCCAGGACGAAACGATGATGATGATGCCCAGCAATGCCAAGCAACGCTAAGCAACGCAAAACAAAACGCAAAACTGCCTAGAGTTGGCTCCAGGCACCCAAGATGTGGCCTGGGAGTGGTGTTCTGGGAACACGAAGAGCACAAAGTGGCCTACAGTTGGCTCCGGGCACTCACGATGTGGCCTGGGAATGGTGTTCTGGCAAGATGCATCGTGATTCCGGGCAAGAGTTTCACACTTTTCAACGTTATGATTTTTTGTGTCCTAGCCAGGCTAAGACGAAACGAACATGAAAGCCACGAAGTGCGATAGGGTTGCAACTTTCCAACGTTATGAATGCCTTTTTGGAGCTCTGGTGCAGGACTTCCTCACAAAAACGACGCCGTTCGTAACGTTGAAGCTTCTTGAATAAAGAATATTTTGATATTCTTATTTAAGCGTTTCCAACGTTACGAACGGCGTAGTTTTTGTGAAGAAGGTTCTTTAAGCGCCAGCCCTCCAAAAAGGCATTCTTACGTTTGGAAAGTTTGTAACCCTATCGCACTTCGTGGCCTTTTCTGTTCGTTTCGTCATAGCAGGCTAAAAAACCGAAAAAATCGGTACGTCTAGCGGCGATGGTCCTGGCAATCTCATCGCCGTTTCGTCCTAGCCAGGCTAGGACCGAGCAAATGGAAATGTCCCAGAACGCCATTCCTGGCAACCTCATCATCCCTTCGTCGTAGCCAGGCTAGGACCGAACGCATCGTAACGTCCGAAAAAGCAATTCGCCGCGATGTCGCCATCGTTTCGTCTGAGCCACGCACAGATCCCACAAATCGTCGCGGCTCGGCTTAAACAAAAGGCACCTCCCTGAACGCCATTCCCGGCGATCGCATCGCCGCGTCGCCTTAGCTACGCCTGAGCAAATCTCCACGCACCAGAACGCCAGTCATGGCGATCTCATGGGCGTTTCCTGTAAGTCAATCTAAGACAGGGAATCATCCCCACGTCGAAGGGCAACTGCCGTTCCCAAGCGCGCCCAATGTCTGACATGTGACATTGTGACTACGTCGTCCTCGACTTGAGTGAGCCGCAATACACACTAAGGACCTTCGTGACACTGAACCCCCTGGTCCTTTGATCATTCGGTCCTCTGGTTATGTGGTTCGTAGGTCCTCTCGTCCAGTGGTCCTTTGGCCAATCGTCCTCTGGTCATTCAGCGAGAATGGGGAACGGTCCCAAGACTTCGTCCGGCGACCCGACAAGCGTTCCGACTACGAGGGCTGCGCCGAGGAGCCCAGCCACGCCGCAGTCTTGGACGCCCGACCGCAGCGCCCCCACCCGCGAACGCAGCGCCCCAAGGCCAGAACGCGCCGAACAAATCCACCCGGAATCCCGATGGCCTTGCCGACGCCGCGACGCGGGCGACCGCGCGTCGACATCGAACCCCAAATCTCCTATCCGCGGGCTTCAATCTGGCACGGCTTTTGCAAGGGCAACTCGGGCGGGATACGAAGTGAGCGCACGTGCGCACTACGCGCGCAGAACAACGACTGCACCCTGGCCATATACTGACCACTCGGCGGAGAGAACCAGCTGCTCGTGCAGTCCGTTCTGCGGCGATGGGGCGCAACGGCTGCGCCTTGGCAGCGGCCGGCCAGCTTCATTCTGGAAAGGAAGAACGAATGCCCCCCAGCCACCGCCGTGCCACGTGGAAAAATCGACAACAGCCCGCCGCGCCTCGGGCTACCGAGGAAGGCACGACTATGATACATGCATGGCAAAACGCGCCCGAACGGTCGGGCTCGGGGGAGAACCCTCAGTCGTTCTTCGGGGCGTAGCCGTCGGCGACGACGATATCCTGCATATTTGGGCGCATTCGCGCAATCACGCTCTTCACGTAGTTCTTCGGCAACTTCTGCGCGCAACTCTTGAGCCGCTGGAGGAAGGCGTCCTTGGTCTCCGTCGTCTTGGGCGCCGTCTGGACAAGGCGCGTCTCTATGGCCTTCCATATGGAGAAGTCCAGGGGCATCACCGAGGGGGTCCGCGGCGGGAGCGTGAGAGCCTTGATGCCGCACGCAGACTTAGCGTCGATGCCCTTTTGGCTCTGGTTGCCCTTCCGGTCCCCGACTTCAACGATAGTGTAAGATTTGCGGGGCCCCCAGGTGCGTCGCAGCGCCTTTAGAAGTTGCCCGAGTAGGTTGTCTGCGGGCTTCTGCCCATTTTCCACCACCGCCGTCCTGCGCGTGGCCCAGAATGCCCGTCCTTGGCAACCGCCGCTGCTCCCAGATCTCACGCAGACCGCATGGGATAAATTGCCCAGAAAGAATGGTTCTGCCCGAGGCCTTAGTCATGCCTTCTCGTCCCCTCGCTTGGGCCTGCAAGGTGTCAGTTTATCAGGGTTGCCTGTACCTTGGCGCCGCTGCTTCGGGTGCGGGGCATGACCAGTCTGGTTGGTCCACCACGCTGTGGCCACGCCCGTCTCCCAATACTTCTTTCGGGCGCTTCAGCCAAGCTTAGCGTCTCAACGCGACCTTGGCGTCCTCCTCGGTCAACAAGATCTTCTTTCGCGGCTGCCTGAAGCGCACCCCCTTGCTCCGCAGGGCCTCCTCGCAAGTGCGCTGACACGCGCGGCCCTCCATGTCCGCCGCCGCGACCGCGTCGGCGTAAGTGACCCGGTACTGGTTGTTGGCTGCCTTCACCAAGCGCTTCCGGACTCGGTCGAGCTTGTCGGCGTCCTTCGGAGTCAAGACCCGCTTCCGGCCGCGAGTCTCCGTGGCGCCCGCTGGGTGGCTAATGCCCTTGACGTACCTGTAGACGGCCGATTGGTGTATGGGCGCCACCCCGCGGGCAGCGCGTCGCTGGTTCACAGCGCGGGTGGCGTCGGCGGCGCCGTTGCCGCGGGCCCTGGCGGACTTGTCGATGAGGGCGAGTTCATCGGGCTGCAAGCGCTGGCGCAGCAAAACGCCAGCGCGGGGCATGTGGGCTGGGCGAAAACGCAGCACAAAAAGCGGCCGCGCGTCTGGGCGTCCGCGAGTCGGGCACCCGCGAGGCAGATCGCTCGAGCATGGTGAATGGC